ACAAAAACCACAAGTGAAGAAAACCCAGGAACAGAAAAATAAGTTTAGATCAGAATAAAATTCACAACTGAACAGATTTAAACCAAAGTTCCTGAGAGAAGAAAGAACAGAGAGCTTCAGGTTTCTCTTGAGCAGAAAATGATGAAACCTTCAAGAACTCTACAGGAGACCAAGAAGAACGTCAGCTATGGAGCAGGAAGTGTCATGGTGAGGGCTTTCTTACAGAACCAAAACCCCACAGAAAAGTTAAACCTGCAAACGTGGAGCTAAAGTCTACGTGAACCCTTTCACATGTTCTACAGTCCAGAATGACGTTCACTAATGCTAATGATGTTGATCCGGTCCAGAGGTGGTGCTGACTTCTCTGGGCTGAACCAGCACACCGCAGATCAGAAGGTTCAGGATCCAGATCTTAGTTGGACGAAATGGACCAAAGAGGAAAAGCAGCATCCAGACTGTAGTCCACCATGAGTCCAAAAGCCCGGTTCTGGATGGACGGATAAACAATGAGGGTGTCCTTCAAGAGAGAAGTTCCAGGTCCAAATGTTCAACCACATGAAGAAGAAACATTTAATGGGACATGAACAAACTGAGCCACATGAAGATCGTCCCACTGTCAGGCACGGCAGCGGTTGCATCATGCTGTGGGGCTGATGGTTCCGGGCCGCCTGCAGTCCTCACCTGTGAGCCAGGTACCGTTGGACACCTGAAGCTGTTTTCACTGATCAACGTTCAGACGACGCGCTGTCGGCCATCTTCTAAAACGAGCCACGACGTCTTCGTATTAAAAATACTACAAGTATTGTTTATAGTATTAGTATGAATAGTAAAAGTATTATCATTGATTAGTATTATTGACTAGTATTGATTAGTATTATTGATTAGTATCGATTAGTATTGAATAGTATTGATTAGTATTAGTTTAGGTGGGCAGCCCGGTGACTCACGTCAGGGTTCTTGCTGACTTCATGTTGCAGCAGCTCGATGTAGTCCGGTCCACAGTCTGTCATCACTGATACTACACCCAGAACTCGGACCCGTACTGCCAGAAGCCCTGACGTTTGCATGACTCCGCCTACTCGCTGGTTCTGACTGGTCCTGGATCAGCTGCGTTTAAGGCCGACAGCAGCAGGTAGACACCTCGGAGAAACCAGACCCTGGTTCTGATACACGATCAGTTCCCGCGAAGCTGCAGCTGAAAACTGACCCGGGTGTGGCCCAAGATCAGAACCAGGACCAACAGGGGGCAGGCTGGATCTACACTGATCCTGGATCAGATCATTGGATCAACACTTGTTGAGCCAGAAGAGTCTGGATCAGAGACGGAAACAAGAAGCTGATCTCAGATCTGCAGATCAGGGCCCGGGTCTGTGAGGAGTCCAGGTTCTGGAGGTCACGTGTGGTACCAGAACTGCTTCTTAGAATAAAACTGGACTCGAATTTTAAAAAATGTTGACGAACGGATCAATTATCAGAACGATCAGATCCAAAAGATAAAAAAAATATTTTTAGAAACTTACAACGTTTTGGTTTGACTCCAACCTGAAGGAGGAAGAGTTGACAGGAGATTCTGATCAGACTGGGGATAATCAATCAATCAGATGATCAGATTATCAATTAATCAGATGATCATGTTATCAATTAATCAGGTAACCAATCAATCGTATTATCAGGTTATCAAATAATCATGTAACCAATCAATCAATATATCAATATATCAAATGATTAACAGGATTCAGTTAGTTAAACAGATAATCTGTAAATCAAATATCAATAAACATTCAGTTAGATAATAAATGAGGTAATCAATCAAACGATCATTCAGGTCATCAGTCAGATATTCAAATAATCATAAAATCAACTGGACAAGTCAGAGGATTAATTATTAAACTGACTGATTGGTTTATTTATTGATCAACTGTTCATCAGATCAACCAATAAATCAGTCAATCAGTCCACTTAGATCTGATGTATTGATTAGTTTTTGGAAACTTTCCTTCGCCGCTGCAGGTGGGACACCTGGGCCAGGATCTGCTGAAGCTCCGCCTCCATCATGAAGCTCCGCCTGCACCGGAACACACAGTCAGGATTACATCATTTTGACTTCCTGCAGATTTCTGGCTCCACCTACAGGAGCATGTTACATCTATTGATCCTAAATTATTGAGAGGGGGCACTCACACGCAAATCCCTCCCCTCCCTCCTGAGGGTCGTTCAGTTTAATCGGTCCAGATTTTACGAGGCGTTAAGTTAATCCAGTCCCCAGACCGTTTCCCCCTTCATGTGTGAGACCAGGCCAACAAAGACCCCCTCAGGAGGGAGAGTGATGTGCATGTGGGTTCAACTCACGAGAGCAGAGCAACTCGCTGCAGATTAAAGCTCATAATCCTCCGTGGATTAGAAGAAAATCTTTTTTAACAAATAAGAAGAGGTCCAGCTGTTTGTCCAGAGTTTGTTCTCTTTCCGCTCCCTTTAAGATGAATAAAGACCGATCGAACTCTACGAAGAGCTCTCTTTACGTTAGCAAACATCTCTCAAGGTTAAATAAAATTCCTAAATCTGGATTAAACCAAGACCAGAAACCAAACCAGATTCTTCTGACAGATTAATGAGGAAAGAGAGCCGTGGAAACAAGGATTCGTTCAGATGATGCCCAGAGGCAGCTGATGTGAAGAACCTCATCTGTGAGCCCCTCAAAAGAAGATGAGGATTTCCCAGCTGGTTTTAATCCTGTAGGATTATATTTCAGACATTTAATGTCTGAAATATAATCCTACAGGATTAAAACCAGCTGGGAAATCCTCATCTTCAAATCCCAATTTTCATTAGCCCAGGTTGAAAACTGGATCTAGGTCCAGGTCCAGGGTGGACCTGATTAGAAAGACAAATCAAGCCACGTCTTTGGAACCGTCAACATGTAGTTTAAAAAGCCAGACATCTGAAACCATTATAGTTTAATCTGACCTAATCTGGCATTTTGGGTAGAAATTATTGATCCATTTAAAAGATTAGAGGCCGGATTAAAGTTTTCATGAAGATTATCCTCCACTGTTAAAACTTTATCAGTAAAAAGTCTGAAAATGGAGACAAAACCTGAGATTAAGGACCTGCTGGATGATGCATGATAATGTGGCCAATATTCTGTGATTGATCGGTTTCACATGTATTGATCCAGTTCATCATCTTCACCACCATCTTCTTCTTCACTTTTATTTTCGTTCAGAAACTCGTTCTGGTTGATTAAAAACAGGTTTGATCATTTAAATCATAAATCATCCTGCAATCAAACTGCTTAAAGATAATCAATAATCTGACCAGGTCTGATCAATAATCTGATCAGACCTGATGGGACAGTTGGATCTTACCTGTGGTCAATCAGCATCTCCTCTTCATCACCTGGGCTCCACCTCCTCTCACCTTGGTCAGTCTCGCTTCTCGTCGCCATGGCGACCACTGATCCCTTCCTATCAATCAGCCAATCAATAATCACTGATCATTGAAACGTTCACAGACGCTGCAGATGTTTGTGTCCGGGGACAGAACTCCGGGTGTGTTTAAAATTAACCTTCTAACAGTGGGTGGTTCTGGTCGGTCCAGGTTCTAACGGACCTCCTCCCTCTGGTCTCAGGTCCGAGGGGGTCCAGCTGAGCCTCCGTGAGCCGTGGCTCCGGTGAAACCCTCCACTTTAATTGGACCTTCCATTGAACGATTAAACGACACCGGACCCCCTGCAGAACCACGTGGTCCTGCTCCTCACAGGAGGATCCGGGTCCAGTCAGAGACAATTGTTTGATTCTGTGTGTTCTGTCAACGGGCCTTCGTCTGAAGATGGACAGGAAGGTTCTGTGTCACTGCAGGGGATGGACCAGAACCACAGGGATCCGGCTCCTCTGGGGTTCACTTTAGTCCAAATGGACTCATGCTGCGTTTCCTGCATGGGTTTACGATCAATACCTGATGCGGATCAGGTGAACTGATCTGATCAGAACCTTCAGTGACCCGGTTCTGATCAGATCAGTTAGATGATCCGTTTAAAGAGCCGGCAGAACCTGCAGCTCTGCTGAGAGTTCGGGTCTGACGCGCTTCCAGAGGTGCAGTGGTTAGAGCTGTAGCCCCACAGAGAGGTCATAGGTTCGACTCCGGGCCGTTCTGTGTGGAGTTTACATGTTCTCCCCTGGAGTTTCCTCCCACAGACCAAAATCCTCCACGGTAGGTTTATCTGAGAGGGTCCCTGTCATGGACAGGAGACCTGTCCACGTGTCTCTGTGATGGACTGGAGACCTGTCCAGCTGTCCCTGTGATGGACTGGAGACCTGTCCAGGTGTCCCTGTGATGGACTGGAGACCTGTCCAGCTGTCCCTGTGATGGACTGGAGACCTGTCCAGGTGTCCCTGAGATGGACTGGAGACCTGTCCAGCTGTCCCTGTGATGGACTGGAGACCTGTCCAGGTGTCCCTGAGATGGACTGGAGACCTGTCCACGTGTCCCTGTGATGGACTGGAGACCTGTCCAGGTGTCCCTGTGATGGACTGGAGACCTGTCCAGCTGGACAGCTGGAGACAGACTTCAGCACTTTACGACCTGAAAAGCAGCAACTAACGATGACAGATTGATAATCAATAATAATTAATAATAATTAATAAACAAAATAATACTATCAGCAAAGATAATTAACATAAACATCAATTAAAATAATTAGAAATGATCAATTGAACACTTTAATAATTAACTTCCATTACTAATAATCAATAATCTGTTTATAATAAAACTTCAGACACTTTCACATTTTTTAGTTTTTATTTTTCTCTACAAAAAGTTACAAAGAGCAGATTTTATTTCTAACGAGATAAAATAAACTAACCTTCAGTTAACAGTCTGTAAAACCTGGTCCTGATCCCAAAACCTGATCCTGGACCTAATACTGATCCACAAACTGACCCAGATCCAGGTTTGAGGATTTGACCTTTGACCTGCAGCATCTCATTAAAACGGATGATTCATTTTATTTAAAACATTTTTATTTTCTCCACTGGACCGCCTCTTCAGATGGACTGGTTCTGTTGGGACCAGGAGACCAGAGATGAACCCATCTGGTCCTGGACCTCCTCTTCAGATGGACCGGTTCTGTTGGGACCAGGAGACCAGAGACGAACCCGTCTGGTCCCGAATCTCTCAGTTCTCTGATCGACCTTTAGACCGAGCACCTGCAGCGGGTCGACCCGTCAGTACATGAGGTCGGCTGCCCCGCCGCTCAGGTCCACCTCTTTGTTCTCCTGGAAGGGGAACTGGATTCCTGCCAGGCGGATCAGAACCACGTTGAGTCCGTGGAGGAAGAAGATGAGGAGGAAGAGCCAGAAGCTTCGGTCGTAGCGTTCCGTGTACGTCTTGAAAACAAAGTTCTCCTCGTTGAAGTTGGAGATCCGGTCAGAGAGATGGTGGATCTTCAGCTCCGACGCAAACAGAACCATCACCAGGAAGCTGCTGAGACCTGCAGGACAAACAGAACCCCAGAGTCCAAACAGAACCGTCACCAGGAAGCTGCTGAAAGGAGCAGAGACTGGCTCCTTGGTCAGTTCTGAACAGTTAAGATGATCTAAACCAGGGGCGATGTAGGATCTGACCTTTAGGGGTGCTGAGCCCCTTGTAGCCCCCAGTTCTGACAACAGCTCTTGGCTTGAACAACATAGTGTGGAGCTAAAGATTTGTAAGTGTACAACACCATGCGTACCTCAGCTGTGAGAAATGTGCAAACAGTTCCTCATATTTACTCTACGCCCTGCTGTGGTTTGTGAGAAGTGCAAAAAGCTTACGGCACCTGGTTCTCCCAGGCGGTCTCCCATCCAAGTACCAACCAGACCCGACCCTGCTTAGTTTCCCAGATCAGACTAATTATGTAATTATAACAGAAAATGGAGGGTTTACCTGCAGTTACCTTCATACAGATGAACCTGTGGCACTTCCTGTTTATCACTGTTGTGATCAGCTGATCATGAGGTCGGCTGCAGGGCTTTATCATCTTTTACAGTTTTCCAGACTCTGTTTAGTTTTAGAAAATGAAATAAATCAAAATCTCAAAGTCCTGTTCTGTCCGACCATTTTTTAATAACCTTTGAGTTTAAATTAATTGACTACACAGTCACTGAGAGTAAATTGCACCTTATCAGGTGCTTATCAGAAAAAGCTGTAACCAAATTTAAAGATTCTCTTCCATCAATGTTTTCCTCTGTCTTGCAGAGTAAGACATCAGAGAGCAATAACTTAGATCATCTAGATGATACTTTTACAACTACTTTGCAAACTTCACTCGATAAAGCTGCTCCGCTGCAAAAGAAAGTAATCACTCAGAGGAGCTTAGATCCTTGATTCAATTCTGAGTTACGTACATTAAAACAGGCATCTAGAAAGCTGGAAAGAAAATGGTGTGCCACTAATGTTGAGGAATTTTACTTATCCTGGAGAGATAGTCTGCTGACATACAAAAAAGCTCTCCATAAAGCTAGAACTTCATATTATTCATCTTTAATTGATGAGAATAAAAATAACCCCAGGTTCCTTTTCAGTACCATAGCTAGTCTAATGAAAAATCCCATCTCTGTTGATTCATGTATCCCTACAACTATAAGTAGTGATGACTTCATGAGATTCTTTATAAATAAAATTGTTTCAGTTAGAGAGAAAATTCAAACCAACGTTCCTACTATCGCCTCTGGTTCTGTGTCAGATGAGACAACTTTTAAAATGTCACTAGAACCTGATTCATGTTTGGATTGTTTTTGTCCTGTTGAGCTCTGAGTTGTCAAAAATAATATCTTCATCCAAACCATCCACATGTCTGCTAGATCCCATTCCAACCAGACGTTTAAAGACGTATTTCCCTTAATTAATAACCACGTCTTGGATCTGCTTAATTTGTCTTTAGTGAATAGTTACGTACCACAGAGCTTTAAGAATGCTGTGATTAAACCTTTACTTAAGAGCATAACCTTGTCTCAGAAATCCTAGCCAACTATAGACCTATATTTAATCTAACTTTCATCTAAAAAATTCTAGAGAAAATACCAAAAAAAAAAAGTCTAGAGAAAATAGTTGCTGGTCATGTACATGATCTTCTTCAAATAAATAATCTGAAGAGTTCCAGTCAGGGTTTAGAGCTCACCACGGCACTGAATCTGCACTGGTGAAAGTTACTAAAGATATTCTCATGGCCTCAGACAATGGACTTGTGTCTATACTGGTCCTGTTAGACCTCAGTGCTGCATTTGATACAGTTGATCACAATATTTTACTACAGAGGCTTGAACAAGATGTTGGGCTGACACATTGTTTTAAGACTGGGCTGAAGACTTTCCGATTTGATAAATCCTATACTGTACTTGTCGTTGTACACGTCGCACCAACGTATAAGTCGCATCAGTTCAAATATGTCTAATAACGTGGGAAAAAACAAACGCGTCACTTCGCAGTATAAGTCGCAGGCATGCTAATTTATGCACAAAAAAAATCCTGCGACTTAAACGACATAAATTACGGTAATAAGGATCGGCTTGTTATGCTGCTATAGGCTTAAACTACTGGAGGACAAACTGACATAATTTCCTTAAATGATTTGCTAAAACTGAATAGTTTTCATTTGATACTATTTCTATCTTAACTTGATTCTTGACCTGCCATTGTGTATCTGTTACTACCAAACCCAGCCGGTCGAAGCAGATGGTCCTCTTGTCCTGATCCTGGTTCTGCTAAAGGTTTCTTCCTCATGAGGGAGTTTTTCTTTCCACTGTCGCCTTCATGCTTGTTCAAGATGAGAGTTCTGTGATGGAGTTAAACTCAAAGCTGCTCCTCAGATAAATAAAGTTAAATTATTATTTTATACATGAATGTTTCTGTTGTGACTTGGAGCTTTAGAAATAAACTAAATTGAAGTGTCTCTGTGATGGACTGGAGACCTGTCCAGGTGTCCCCCGCCCCTCGCACAGTGACTGCTGGACATGGGCACCGGCGACCCCCCTGACCCAAAATGTAAGAAGCGGGTAAAAGAATGGATGGATGGATGGATGAACTGAAGTGAATTATTCCACCCTCTAAACTCTCAGAGTAACTAATTTAACCATTTTTCTGATGATTTGTCACAAAATCCCTCTGACTGCGACGCGTTGGTAATGCAAAACCCCGACAATGTTGTCGGAGGAGAAAGGGGTGGTGTTGTGGTGTGTTTGGTAACTCACAGCAGATGGAGCTCCACAGATACAGTCCCATGGGGCCCAGCAGCGTCTCGTAAGGTCGTCCGAAAGCGTTGAAGAAGAAGAAACCGCAGGCCACAGAGGAGAAGATGACCACGACACCACAGAAGAAGATGATGATGATGTGGAGCCCTGCAGGGATCACGCTCAGGAGGTCTGGGAAGACTGGGGCAGGAAAGAAGAAGAAACCAATGTGAGAAGAACTCAGTCTGACTCTGAACCAGACCGGTTCTGAAGCATGAACTTAACTTTCCAACATTTTTACCAAGATGCATCATTTCCACCTTTCTTCTTCTTCTACTGTTTATTTATGTTCCTGTAGGTCCTCCTGCCTTCTTCCACTCATGGTTTCCTCTCAGAGGTCAGAGGTCACACACCCAAACTCCCACTGTCTGAGCTTCCAAACAGGAAGTGGAGGCTCTTCTTAACGTGTCAGAGCTCCTCCAAAAAATTCTGTAGAGCCATCAAACTGAACCTGTGGTACCACCAGAACCTTCTGCTGCTCATGGGTCAAGAAGTTCTTTGATCCAACTCCTAGTTTTCACACAAAGACTGTTTGTCTGAGGCTTACTTCTTAATCTGCGTTTCTGCCTGAAGTGCTGCTACGTGCTGCCCCACTCCTCCATAAAACTGTGGGAATCACCATGGCAACCAGTGACCCAGCATGCTTTTCTTCTTCTCTGTTTCCACCTTTGATCCTTCATGTTGTCTGTGATGTTCAGGAGGATTCAGGCAGGAAACAGGAAGCGGTTTTCAAAATAAAAGCTCACAAGTAACTTTTAGAATAAGAGTCTGGTTCTGTCCCAGCTCAGATAATTGGTTCTGTTGGACCTCATAGAAGAACATGATGAATGTTTTTGCTGCTTTGGTTCCTTCAACATTTCTGCAGAAAGATTTTTTTTATATATATATTTTAAAATAAAACATTTTATTTATTAAAATTTCAGGATGAAAAGGACCAGATCAAATGGGAACACATGTTGTATTGATCCGAGCCGACAGAACCCGGGTCTGCTGTGACTCACATGAGAACCGGGCCGGCCGGCCCCCCAGGCCGCACTGCTTCACCCTCTGTCCGTGGAACAGCCCGAAGCTCAGCTCCCCCACGAACTTCTCCAGTTCTGGTCCCGTGGCGTTCACGAGTTCGGCCCCGGTTCGGCACAGCACGGAGCCGCGGACCCAGAAGGGCAGCCCGGTGGCCACGGCGGCCATCAGGGCGCAGGAGAGTCCGACGAGTCCGGCACAGGAGAACAGAACCTGCTTCTGTCGGTTCGGCATGCTGGGTCCATCAGGCCCCGGATCAGGTCCGGCTCAGGTCCGCACGGGAACAGTTCTGCTGGTTCTGGACAGACCCGGATCGGATGACTCCTCCTCCGCTGCTCCTGGTGTCTCCTTGGCAACGGGAGGTCCAATTACATCCTGCGGGTCTCGGAGGTTCTGACCCGTAAACTCTGACGGATGGTTATTGTCTCCATGACCCACAAACATGAAGACAGACAGAACCAAACCTTTGGACTCATCAGAACCAGAATCTGAAACTAAATTAACATAACAGGCCGAGCAGAACCGCTCAGAGCCGGACTGGGCCGAACCCTGACCCTGTTCATCCACTTGTGGCCCGCGGGCCACATCCGGGCATACCGTTTTTAAATATTTGATGAGTTCTGTCGGGGGACAGATTTCTACAGAACCCCAGAACCTGGACCGCAGTCTGGAGGTTTTAGAAATCTTTTTCTGGAGTTTGGTCTTTTCTCCAGAACTTTTTATGAAACCGAACCCTTCAAGGCCGGTGCTGCCTGATGCATCACAGCTGTTAGTGAAGAACGACTCTCAGATTAAAGCTGCCTGGACCAAGACTCTGGATTATTACTGATTACGTCATCAAATAAACATTTTCTGTGAAGCAGAAAGTTTTGTTCTGTTCAAACCACTTGTTCAGGAGATATTTTGCTAACACAAACACAGAGACAGGTAAAAACACGATCGCCCTTCAGAGCTGGGCGAAAGTAAAAAGAGAAAATATCCGCTGCTTGTTTACAGATCTTGTTTACTTGTTTACTGCATCAAAGTTTAGCAGAGAAAACATGTTTGTTTGTTAGTTAGTTTGTTTGTTTGTTTGTTTCTGAGTTGATCATCAGCTGATGATGGATCAGAAGATCCGGACAGCAGAGGGAACTGTTGTTTAAAATATACATTTTCATTCATAACTTTATTAATAGTTTTTTGTTCAAATGTAATTTTTTTAAGGTGAATCTGAATAAACTTCATTGTGTAAATGACCTGAAATGTTTCTGAGTCTTTTAATTTGGTTAAAACAACAACTTTATACTTTGATTAACAACTTTGATTTGATGTAATTATTCCGTGTTATGTTTTTTTTTTTTTTGTAATATTTTATATTTTTTAACATAAACAACTCAACATGTGGAATCTAATAGTTACTTATTGTTTGCTTTGTTTGTAAATGTAAAAGAAGAGGAAACGGTTGTTACGTCACTCCTGCACAGGTCACGTGATGACGTCAGCCTGCCTGCCGGTCTGCGGTCCGGAGTGTCCGCGCGGTCCGAACCGGAGCAGAACCTTCTTGTGCAGGATGAGGTGAGTTTCTGACGGGTTTGTTCTGAGTCTGCGCACTGAGCAGGTGGAGGTTCGAGTCCCGGCAGAACCGGGCTCATGGATCACTGATTGGTTTCAGGACCTGCAGGATCCGAACCTCGAGACGGAACCGTTTGAGAGATGAACGGAACTTTCGTCTGCTCGGAGCGGATTTATTAAAGTTCAGAACCAGAACCTGGTTGTTCGGATGCAGTTCTGTATTTTTAACTACCTCCAAACCCAAACATCAAAAAAACCTAAACGAACCCGTCCGAACCTCCGGCTGCAGGTGCAGAACTTCAATTTGGACTTTTTCTTCTTCATTATTATTATTATTATTATTATTATTATTATTATTATTATTGATCTCTAATAGTTTTGATAATAGAAACTAATAATTAATCAGAGAAGATAAACATTAGTTTGTTACTGTTTAAATTATTTTATTGATCATCTGATGATAAAAAGTTTTGACCAGTAATTGAAGCAGGATTTGATGGTGTAAAATGTTCTGAGGGTCTAAAGTTCTTGTTCTGCGTCTGTTTCAGGCTCAGTTAAACTCTAAAACCAGAACCGGACAGGTCCAAATCCTCAGAACCTCCAAACTCTATGAACCTTTCCCTCAGAGCTCGTTTCAGTCTCTAGAACCGGGCTTTTCTCAGAATCTTCAGAGGTTTTCAGAACCTTTTATCAGAACCTTTGTCTGATTTCATGCCCATCACAATGGTTCTGATTGGACTCTGTGGTTCTGCTCAGGATGTTCTGGCTGCTCTTCTTACTCGGACGCGGCGCTCCGATGATGCCAGAGATGTACGGCAGCCTGCAGTCGCCAAACTTCCCTGATCCGTATCCCCGGGAGACGGAGCGGCGCTGGAACATCAGCGTTCCACACGGGTTCTGGACCGTGCTCTACTTCAGCCACTTCCACCTGGAGCCGTCCTACCTGTGCGAGTACGACTACGTCAAGGTGAGACACCAACAGAACCGAGAGGTTCTGACCAGAAAGTCTGGAGAACTGGTCCTGGCCGAGTCCTCCTGAAGGAATGCTTATCACCCACCGCAAAACACAGACCGGTTCTGGATCAGGAGGTTCTGCACAGGACTGGGTCTTATTGTGACCTCTAGATCATTCCCCCTCTGCACACACACACACTCACACACACACACACACGCTGCTCAGTGTGTGTGTGCGTGCGTGCGCAGCAGCTGGTCTGTTTTCTGTCTCTTCTGTTTGGACAGAACTCTGATTGGTTCTGATCCTCGGATCAGCAGGCACACAAACACTGGAGCTGTTGTCCTTTGACCCCAGAGCTTCTGCCAGAACCTCAAACAGGAAGTGACATGAACAGTCAGTCATCTCCCGGATTCATCCGCCAGAGAAAATAGTTCTTCCCAGAGAAACACCTGATGGAGACTTATCGTGTTGTTGTTGTTGTTGTGCAGGTGGAGGCGGATGGGGAGGTTCTGGGCTTGTTCTGTGGGGTGGAGGACACAGACACTGAGGTGGTTCCGGCCCAGCGGGTCATCACCTCCCCCAGAACCTCTCTCAGCGTTCTGTTCGTGTCCGACTTCTCCAACGAGCAGAGCTACTCTGGCTTCAAGGCTCACTACAGCGCTGTGGGTGAGGACACAACAGAACCATCAAACCCAGTTCCTGTTTCTGCAGAGAGCACTTCCTGTCTGTGAATCAGCTGATGATTATTAATTAGACAGTTATCGATCCATAATCAATAATGGGCTACACGATGATCTAAATAATCCTTCAACTTAAACCGATACAAACAGATCAGTTGTGTTTGTTTGTCAGGTATCAGGTAACAAAACAACAAAACTTAAACAACGTTCAGAACCGAAGTCCAGGTTCAAGAGACCCCCTCCAGAACCAGAACCAGAACTGTCTTCTGTCTCTGCAGACGTGGACGAGTGCAGCCTTCAGGACGACGGGGACCAGCTCTGCGATCATTTCTGCCACAACTACATCGGAGGCTACTACTGCTCCTGTCGCTATGGTTACCTGCTGCACTCCGATAACCACACCTGCACAGGTGAGTGAGCTGACACGCCCACCCGCTCACCTGCTCTCACAGCGAGGGGGAAGAGCGCCGCTGCACAACATTCACAGGGTCACCTGCTAGGTTCTGACACCTGTACAGGCACACCTGCTGCCTTCCAATCGGACCAATCAGGACACGTTACACGGATCATGAGGAGCACAATGGGCCAAAACAGAACCAGGTGGTCCAGGTGGTCCTGGCATCAGGTTTGGCCTACAGAGGTTAAAGAGAATAAACAACTAGAAAAGCTCTGAGGAAATGTTGGGCCACTGTGGTAACTATACACTCAGTGGCAGCACTCTTAATGAAACAGGCAGACAGAAACATCTTCAACATGAAGTCTGAGGTTCTACAGGGTTTATATGGGGGCGGCCATGATGGAAACAGAGGAGGGAGAAAGACTTGCTGGGAGTTATGTGAGAAGAAAGGTGTGGGACAGCACACAGCACTTCAGGCAGAACCACAGAGTAAAAAGTAAGCCTCAGAGAAACAGTCTCTGTACGTTGGAGCAACGAACTTCTTGACCCGTGAGCAGCAGCAGAAGGTTCTGTCGGTGCCCCAGGTTCTGTTTGGTGGTTCTACGAGGTTTGGTGGAAGTGATATGACATGTTGAGAAGAACCTTCACTTCCTGTTTGAAGAGAAATCTGAGCTCAGAATCGATGAAGTCAACGAGTTTGTTTGACCTTTGACCTCTGAGAGGACACCATCAGTCCTTCAGCAGAGAGACACGCTGGGAGGACGGAGACAGAGAGGCTGAAGTTTGGAGGAGTTAATCTGTGCAGGGTTGCAAAGTTTAAAGTTACGGAGACATGCTTCTTTAAAAACTCTGCATAAAGTGTTACAGATGTGAAACCAGCTGTTCATTCATGTAAAGTCCAACTTTCTGTGACCCGTTTCAACTCGCCTGAGCTGCAGATCCAAACAGGACTGGGCTTTAACCCTCGACGGACGTCTCTGGGGACAGTTTTCACAGTTCTTGGCTGATTTTATCTCCATCGCTCTGACCAACAGTCAGAACCTGCCGTTCCTGATGGAGACAAAGGTTCTGATGCATTTTATGTTTGGGTTTTTCAAAGCTGCCCGAAGGAATGTGAACTGAAAATTAAGACAGACATTGAATAATTCAGGTGCTGATGCAGTGACAGACTTTAAACCAGATTTATATTTAATGTTTTAAGTTTGGCTCAAATGAACAAAGTTTGACTCGGAGTCTGGATGTTCGTGGAGCGTGGCCTCAGAGTGACTGATAACAGCAGCTGATTGGTGGAAATGTTTACATGTTTCTGTGTGGAGGAGGCAGCACACATCAGTTCTGACCTTTGAACTATGGCTATGTTTCCAGTGGAATGCAGCAGTGATGTGTTCAGGGAACGCTTTGGAATTCTGAGTAGCGTGGACTTCCCGGCTCCGTACCCGAAAAGCTCCGACTGCTCGTACCGCATCGAGGTGGAGGAGGGCTTCAGGCTCCGCCTCCAGTTCGACTCTCGCTTTGACGTGGAGGATCACCCTGACGTCAGCTGTCCCTACGACTACGTGAAGGTGAGGAAACACACAGGCACGAGCACGCACACACAGGTGCTGCCACTGATCAGCTGTCCGTGCGTCAGGTCGAAGCAGGAAGCGGGGAGTTCGGTCCGTTCTGTGGCGATCGATCACCTGGAGTTGTTCAGACCGACAGTAACATCGTCACCGTCCGGTTCCACACTGACAACTCTGGAGAAAACCTCGGCTGGAAGCTCACGTACACCTCCGAAGGTGAGAAACATACATACGTACATGCATAAAGAGCACAGGTGCAGGTATGAAGCTCCTTCCTGACAGGCTTTTATTTTGTTATGACAGGAAATCGATGTCCAAAGCTTGAGGCTCCGCCCAACACTTTGATTAACCCCATCCAATCAGAGTACTCCTTTAAGGATTATGTCATGTTCACATGTGAGCCTGGGTACCACCTGCTAAAGGTGAGATCCTCCTCTCTGTACTTTCAGGTTTACCTGTCCAGGTGTGAACACATCTGTCTCCTTCTGGGACTGAAACTGAAACCAGAGGTTGAAAACTCAAAGAACCCTTCAATAAATTATCTCAGGTATGATTTTAGTTTGTCAGTGGTTGATCGGGCCTGAACAATTAGTTCTGTCAGCAGCTGATCGGGTCTGAACGATTAGTTCTGTCAGCATCTGATTGAGCCTGAACAATCGGTTCTGTCAGCGGCTGATCGGGTCTGTAGGATCAGTTATGTGAGCGGCTGATTGGGTCTGAACGATTGGTTCAGTCAGCGGCTGATTGAGTCTGAATAACAGGTTCTGTCAGCGGCTGATCGGGTCTGTAGGATTGGTTCAGTCAGCGGCTGATTGAGTCTGAATAACAGGTTCTGTCAGCGGCTGATCGGGCCTGAACGATTGGTTCAGTCAGCGGCTGATTGAGTCTGAATAACAGGTTCTGTCAGCG